AGAAAGAGAAAGTTGGGGGGGGGGGAGAAACATGCATCAGGATAGTAGATCAGTGCATTGCTTCTCAAAGTGACACCAGCTTAAAATACCTGCTGCTGTCTGTGTCATTTTTGTCAATCAAACAACAAAAGACAAAGAGAAAAGAAAACCATTCACTGCTCTTGTTATTTCCAGCAAAAATGACTAAAAACGACTGTCATATATAAATTTAGATATAATTTTCTCTTGTCTTTTGTTGTTTGATTAACAATAACGCCACAGACAACAGCAGGTATATTAGGCTGCTGTCATATTAAGACCAAATGCACTTATCTAATATGGCATCAGACAATAATCAGAATCAGACAATAAGCTGTATTGCAATGTGGTGCAATTTGGGATTTAGGGATGGCACTAAAATGCATTGTTCACTTGCAGAACGCAAGCTTCTAGAGGGCGCATAAGTCTGAAGTAGTGAATTTAGGGAAAGGGGTGCAGAGCCAGGGGTGGTTTTGTAGGCAAACATTAATGTCTTGAATTTAATGTGAGCAGCTACTGGTAGCCAGTGCAAATTGATGAACAGAGGTGTGACACTTTTTTTTTGTCTCGTTAAGGACTACTCTTGCTGCCAAATTAGTTGCAGCGGTTTGATAGAACTGGCTGGAAGTCTTGCCACGAGAGCATTGCAATAGTCCAGCCTGGACAGAAGAAGAGCTTGAACAAGAAGTTGTGTAGCATGTTCCGAAAGAAAGGGCCTGATCTTCTAATGTTGTATAAAGCAAATCTGCAGGACCGGGCAGTTTTAGCAATGTGGTCTGAAAAAGTCAGCTGATCATCAATCATAACTCCAAGGTTTTTGGCTGTTTTTGTAGGAGTTATGGTTGATGTGCCTAACTGGATGGTGAAATTATGATGAAGTGATGGGTTTTATGAAACCACAAGCAGTTCAATGTGGTCTGAAAAAGTCAGCTGATCATCAATCATAACTCCAAGGTTTTTGGCTGTTTTTGTAGGAGTTATGGTTGATGTGCCTAACTGGATGGTGAAATTATGATGAAGTGATGGGTTTTATGAAACCACAAGCAGTTCTTTCTTGGCAAGGTTGATTTGAAGGTGATGGTCCTTCATCCAGAAAGAAATGTCTGTTAGACAAGCTAAGATGTGAGCAGCTATCATCAAATCATCAGGCTGGAATGAGAGGTAGAGTTGAGTGTCATCAGCATAGCAGTGATATGAAAAGCCATGTTTCTGAATGACAGAACCTAGTGATGCCATGTAGACAGAGAAGAGAAGTGGTCCAAGAACTGAGCCCTGAGTCACCCCAGTAGCTAGATATTGCGACTTGGACACCTCAACCCTCCAAGATACCTTGAAGGACCTATCTGAGAGGTAAGACTCAAACCACTGGAGTGCGGTTCCTGAGATGCCCTTTGCCAATAGGGTTGACAGGAGGATCTGGTGGTTAAACATGACATAAGCAGAGGACAGATCAAGCAAGATAAGTATTGAAGAGTTGGAATCTGCTCTTGCCAGTCTTAGGGCTTCAACAACTGAAAGCAAGGCAGTCTCGGTCGAATGTCCACTTGTGAGATTTACTGTTTGGTTTTTGTTTACTGTTTTTGATATTTACTTTATTTCAAGTATTTAAAAAGTAACAAAAAAAAAAAAAAAACCCTGTTACACTCAAATACACATCAGTATCAGCCTACATTTCACTAATCAATGCAACCTCTGTGTTTAAGTTTAAGTGTGTGTGTGTGTGTGTGTGCATGAACTCTACGTGTCCACATCCCAGCAGCAACAGCAGACAGTGAGGGTTTAACCTCTTGGGGGTGTTGACAGATGATCTGACCTCCAAAACACTTAAAACACCCACCGGATCACTGCGGGGTCAGAGGTCATCGCACACATCTGAACGCTCCTGTCATCACAATGACTGATCCATTAACAGCTCCTATTACACTTCTCCTGCAACTCCGATTTTATTTTATAATTATGAATTTTTAATTATACAATAAATATTTCAAATTATATATATTATGTATATATTATAAATACATTTTATTATATATAATGCATATACTTTATGCATTGAATATCTAGTTCATCCACTGAAGGGTCCATATTTCCATGAGAAACAGATCAGGATGGTGCTGGTGACACGACACACAGAGCACCCACACAGTAGTGCTGGGTTTATACCGGTTCATACCGATTACCGGTATTTATTTTTGTTATGATATTAATTTTTAAAATACCGCAATACGCAAGTATGTCACTTAAACAACGTTCAGAACGCGACACTGTTTGAAAGGGGTCCGTTTTCACTGTTGCACTGTGGTGAGGGAACAGCTGTATGTGTTACTAAGCGTGAAAGTTCTGAAACTGAAGCTGTAGAACTAATAGAACGTGATGACACAGAAGAACTCATCCACAATATCCACATTGACCGCCACAAATATCCACCGCCCCCTGCCATCAGCTCCCGCGTCTCACACACACATGAGCGTGACTTTAGCACTAGATTTAGCAACTTTCAGACCCTTTTAGCGGCTTTTTCCCATCGAATATTCATACTGACAAACCTAGCGACTTTTTTGGATAAACCTTAGCTATGGTTCAGTTGGAAGATTTCGCCAGTGCTGTCCCGCGAACGCGAGGTCTGACTTTCCCGGAGAAGTGTCACCTCTCTCGGTGTCTGTTCTGTGCAGTGAGCGGCAGAGAAGCAGCGCATTCAGTTAGCCGCACCGCAGCCGACTCGTCAATAAATGAGTACAAAACAGCGTTTCCTAGCACCTGTCGCTTACTGATTGTTTGGAATTATAAATATGAGTGTAGTTCGTCTGTTAATATCACATGCACTTTTTTGTTTGTTGTTTTTTTTAGTTTGTTACTCAGACGCAGACAGTGCGCTGCATGAGACAAAAAATAATATAGCCAAAAAAAACGCATAGCCGCTCTTTAGTGTAGATGCATGTTGATCTTATCAGACGATGCCGCGATTATAAATGAGAGTGACTCCTGGTTAACGTATTAAAAGGGGTCGTGTTTAGTCACTATTTAGTGTGGTATTTTTTGACAATATTTACTCATCATGACAGTATGATGTACCGATGTACCAGTATGATATCAAAATATCGTCATGTACCGTGAAACCGGTATAATTTTGAAAAATACTGTGATATAAATTTTTGGTCATACCGCCCAGCACTACCACACAGTCTTCATTAACAGTGACTACATTAACACTGCTGACAGATACAGTTATAATGAGTCGTGCTGCTGTGGAGCTGATGCTGTTGGGCATGTCAGATCTCACCTGCGCTGATTATCAGACTATATAGACAAATCCAACCAACACACACATATCTCCACCTACACAGCAGGCCTATTAACACCCTAAATTATCATACAGTAAATAGCAGTGAAACAGACAGACTGGAGAAGAGCTTTCAACTGAATGACCCGTCATCTGACCCCTCACCTACGGTCAACATGATGACTGAAAGCGTCCACACAGCACAACCACTGACAGACAGCTGATCACAATCAGACCACTAACATGAATTAGGACAGGAAATGTAACCAGACTAGATTGTGATGTGGACTTTAACAGCCATCCACCTCATGCAAGTGTTACCAACTCATTTGCTGTAAAGTAGAATGACTTCAACATCACAACATCCAGCCGCTAATATGCACAGACAGACAGACGGACGGACGGATGGATGGATGTGTCTTACCTCCACCTCACAGGAGAACTGGCTGCCATCCAGCAGGGTCACGTGACACACCACCATCTTCATCTTCTTGTTGACTTTGAGCGTTGACAGCACACTCGCCTCCTGCTGGATCACTTGCTCTTCCTCTTTCTTCTCCACCTCCGATTCGCCCTCTTTCTCCTCTCTCACAGGCTGCAGACACACACACACACACTTTAGGTTAACACACACACATGGGCACTCTCGTGTTTTCCAGTGGAGCGGATGGCTGCTGGATGATGTCACTGGGCGGATGCTGAAGGAATGGAGAGATGACTGATGGGTTTTGGCTGAAGCGTGTTGCGTAAGGAAGCGTTTATTCTGACGGCGTCATGTGACGGAGCACAAGCGCGTCTGGAGTCCTCCGTCATGTTCAGCATCTGATCTGGACTACAGTCCCATCACATGCAGGTTTTTCTGAGGAGATGATGCCTGAACGATCTGCAGTGAACACCAGAAGCTGCTGCAGGAAGTGAGCAATGAGCTTAACCAGCAGATATGCAGACGAGCTCCAAGAACACTGCTTGATTATAATGCAACAACATTTCTGAAAAATAAAACATCTAAAAGGAATGCAATTGTTTCAAATAATCCAATCACAGTCAATGTCAGGCATAACCATCTGAGTTGCAAGTGTTTTTTTTTTTTCTTTTAATAAAATATTGATAAAAAGTTTAAATTAATAAATAAAATCTTTGGTTTAAAAATTGTCTTAAAGGGGTCATATGATGCAATTTCAATTTTTCCTTCCTCTTTGGAGTGTTACAAGCTCTTGGTGCATAAAGAAGATCTGTTAAAGTTGCAAAGACTAAAGCCTCAAATCCAAAGAGATCCAAAGATCACAAATGCAGACATGGTTTTATGTTTACGCGGCGCGATGCAACACGTAAAAAAACAGTATATGTCATTATAATCAGTAACTATGTCCCCACTGGATGCAACAAATGCCTCGTTTATAATGGGTTTTAATGTTTTTGTGTGTTTTGACATATAAAATGTCCTTTTAAAACTAATTTTAAAACTAAAATTAGATCAGACTGAAAGATTAAAATGAATGAACATGACATGACAAAAAAACTGTGAAAATAAACACTCCATCCAGCAGTGTGAAATGAACTCATTTGATTCAGTCCAAGATTTAGTCAAATGTCTCCTGAGTTCAAGCAAATCGCTCACATGCTGCCGTTCAAGAGATTGGGGTCGGCAAGATTTGTAATGTTTCTGAAAGAAGTCTCTTCTGCTCACCAAGGTTGCATTTGGTTGCAAGGTTGCAATGCAGCATCATTCTAAGATGCTGATTTGCTGCTCAAGAAACATTTCAGATTATTATCAATGATGAATACAGTTTTTTGTGGAAACATGATACATTTTGTGATACATTTGATTTTTTTCAGGATTCTTTGACAAACAGAAAGGTCAAAAGAACAGCATTTATTTGAAAAATAAATCTTTTGACATTACAAATGTCTTTACTGTCACTTTTAATCAATTTAATGCATCCTTAATGAACAAAAACAAAAGCATTAATTTCTTAAAAAAAAAAGTGGCTTACTCCTGGTAGTGTATATATACAGACATATTCGTCCATGTTTGTCTCACCTGTGTGTCAGCACTGCCGATAGACTTCTCCTCCTCTGTCTCCTTCTCCTCCGGCTGCACCTGCTCTGCTCTGCTCTCCTCTCTCACCTCCTTCACCTCCTCTGTCTGCTCTGTGCTGGCGGTCGCTGCGCCTCCTCCGTCCGCCTCCTCTTTCGGCTGGCTCGTCTCCTCCTGCTCCTCCTTCACGGCCTCCACGCTCTCCTGCTTGGGCGGCGCTGTGCTCTCGCCGGGCTTGTCTTGGCTCTGGGATTTCTGTCGTTTAAGCCATGGAGGCAAAAAGCGGGAGATGCCCTTCTCTTTCTTCTGGCCGCCGGCAGCAGCAGGAGGACTGCTGGGCTCCGGAGACGCAGCCGCTTCCTGATCGCTCTTGGCCTCGGTGCTCTGGCTCTCCTCCTGCTCAGGAGCAAACACGCACAATCCTGGACTTTAATCGCTTCTCATTTTGATGAACCGGGATCGAGTCTTAAATCCCAAGAATCCATCTATGCTGTTCTCTGCTGATGTGTGAACAAAGCTTTATGTCTAGTGCATATCCCACCCAATTCACAATAGGCTTTGTGCTTTGTTACCTCTGATATTAAGAAGTCTCCGCTTTCAAATTCTGTCAGTTTTGTTACGAAATACAAATTATAAATGGGTTTTTGTTGTTCTTTAATGTGGGGTGAAAGATTGCTGTAGCCTCACATGACCCGATCATCTGTTTCTGTTCATTACAGCAGCAAATAAACATGAATGAACATCAGAAGAAACTTACTGAAATCAATCACATCTCATGTAATCAACTGATCAGAGTTTCAACCACAGTAAGATGTCAATAAAACAGCATGTAAAATGTCCATAAACTTATAGTCAGCTAGAAAAATACATTTGCAATTTTTTTGCTAAATGTGCATTTTATTACATATTCATAGCAATGCAAATGCTTAAAAACGATGTAAATAAAAGTTAGTACACTTACTTTCAAAGGTACTTCACTGTCTTTTCTGATCAATGGAATTGATCAATTAAACTTTAAATAAGGTGTTTCTGAATTATTTTTGCATCTCATGTTATTGTTTTACTTCAACCAGTTTATAATATCTAAATATTTTATATTGAAAAATTCTATTCATAATCAATTGCATTTATTTCTTTTTAATTTTGTAGAATACTATTAATACTAGTTATATTGTTTAAATGTGTTCCCTGGTATCTGGCAACCCTTCACCTGGAGCTTTAAATTTAGGGAGGGAAGAGTTCAAAAGTGACTAGAAGGAGAGCAGCAGTATACAAACTGAACATCAGCTACTGTTAATGCTGACTAAGAAGTTTAAACTATAACGGCGTATTTAACTCTAGGCCGGACTGACACACGCTCGCCTGTCACTGCGTCTTCTGCATCATTACATGTGACCGGTTAATTTAAACATCAAGCTGAGAAACATGTCGAATCAGAGGAGGTCATAACAGCTGGTTCCGATCAGTGTCCAATCGTTTATAGAGTTTAAAAAATATAATACGGGCTGTTGCATTCTCAATATTTCGTAATTTTGCCTCAGATACAGAAATGCATTCGCTTTAACAAGCAGGTTGTTCATTACCACGGCAACCGCTTGAATTTGATTCTTGTGTGTAAAAATTAACTCTACACGTAACAGGCAGAAAGATGGCGATAAACATTATTTAAGGCTCTCTCTACTCGTTACGACATTGATATTTGAACTGTTGTATTCAGGTATAATACTTATTTCATTTGATTGGTAAGTTATTCTTATTATACTTCTTATTCTACTTGTTTTTTATTTTGCTGTTTTAATTAGAAATTTCAAAAAGCTTATAAATTTTTTTTTTTTTTTGAAGTTAGAAAAATGCCAAAAGGTAAATACAAAATTCCCTGTAAATCACTTTATGGAGTCAAATATCACCTTGCAACGGAAAGGCTAATTTTTTTATCAGAATATTTGATTGATTAGAAGGTGCTCCTGAAATTTTTTAAATTAGCACAAGTGCTCCTAAAAAGAAAAATAAGCGTAGAGCCCTGTAATACAGTATTTATTACACACACTCATGTGTTCATGTGGTTCTGCTCACATTATTTACTACGCTGAGATGCCTGGTATTGTGTAGCTCTGCTCTGGCTGATTAGAGAGCATGCATTGACATCTGCTCTACCTGCGGTTGGTCGTTGCTCTCAGCGGGTTTGTCGGGCTGGTCTGTCTGCTGCTGGACTTCAGGAACCTTCTCCGGTTCCTTCTTCACGTCTGTCTCTGATCCCACCTCTGTCGTCATCACGCCCGGCACACTAACAGACACACAAACAACACGCCAGTCTTTAAAGACTGAGTTCATCATCTCAGATAAAATCTGCGGAAAACACACTGAGACTCAGAACTAGGGTTGGGTATCGTTTGAATTTTATCGATTCCGATTCTTATTGATTCCTAGTTTCGATTCCAATAAGATAAAAAATCCAATATAAAAAAAATTAAGTCAAACATTTAGATGTTTTTACAAAGCATTCTGTTGCAGCTGAATAACACGAGCAGGAATTTTGCCTATGCTTTGAAAAAAATACCACAGCAAAAACAACTAGATTAATATAAATTTCAAATATTAAAGTGTTAAAGACAAGTAAACAGTCAGTAATGAGATAGGAACAAACAAATCAATTAGCGATATCATAAATAAATACAACTGAACAAAATTTCAGGTACAGAAACTGTAATTAAAAGTTTAAAAACACTGCATAGTTTTCTTTTCATAAATAAAATATAGATTAATCAATTAAAGTTATTAAATATATTCAGTCAAGATCAGTGAATGATTTTCTCTTGTTCTTTGATTAATATTAATAACAGGCAACGCGTTTATTAGGCTGCTGTCTCTTTAACACCGAACGCACGCAGATCTAAAAATACTGTACATGTGTGTTTTCTTTCTCATCTGTTTACGTTCACGTAAGACAAAAACGGCTGTGTTTATGATGATATACTGACGTAGTTTTCTGCATATTGGTCGACAAATATGAAAGAAGTCAGTTTCGGCCCGGAACAACCTTTTCTACAGTGGAAATACACGGAACGGTTCGAGAACGGACACAAACCGGGAACCCGTACGGCGACCGCTGTTCTCTGTGCTCGCACTTGCGCAAACAGGGCGCAAGTTCTTTCCGTTCCTGCACTTAAATCGCATGCACTTAAATATTTTTTAATCACATTAAAATGCGAACGCAGGAATCGTTAAGCAGAATCGAAATGCACGCGTCTTATCGAATACCCGGTTCTTGGAAATTTGGAACCGGTTCTAAAATGGAACCGGTTTTCGATACCCAACCCTACTCAGAACACCTTCCACACACTGAACTAAACTACAAAACACAAGAAAAGTTTGATAGCAGTTGCTTTTCAGTTACTAATAATAAAAAGCCAAATGCTACAATATTTTTTCATATAGTACTTTGTTTCATATACGTTGTATAATAGTATTGATTTATTAAACACAACCGTGATTGTAAACTAATGATGAATGCTGAAGAATCTCCATGTTAGAAACAATAGTTTATTTCCAGATCCCTGATGTGTGACTGTTATGATTGTTAGAATGTATATCTGATACAGCTGTATTTTCTATTGGATATGACAGCAAATGTGTGGCTGTATGCAGGGCCCTATGATTTCCACAATACAGAAAACACGAATGGAATCCAGTCCAGAATCCAGAATGGAATTTACAATACAGCATGGAATGTCATGGAGTTTGGCATGACGATATGGACTAGTGTCTGTGAATATTAAAGCTCAAAAACACTGCTATTGAATATGAAGTCCAGCTGTCCTGTGTGTCTCTGTGTGAATGAGGGCTGCAGCTTCATATACTGTGACTTAAAGAAATGGTGACACAAATATTACTATTGTACGATAGAATATACTTCTCAAAGTATTATTATTATTAATATAAGTAATAATAAAAGGAATACACTTTTTACATATCTTTTTCACATCTGTTTTAATTTAAACAGTAAATCTGTTGTGCAGCTTTTCGTAGAAAAAAAAGGACTCTATCATTGTAAAAGTGTTGTTAATCTGCTACAGTTTTATGTAATCAGTGGATGAGATACATTTTGACTACTTAATTTAAGTACACCATTATAGGGCTGAAACGATTCCTCAAGTAACTCGAATACAAAAAATCAGAGGCAAATTATTTGCCTCGAGGCTTCATTTAATCCATTTACTGTAACTACACACAGAACACTGTGTTTCCCCACGGACCATTATTACTGACGCACAAACTGATAAACACTGGACATATTTAAGACTGTAAATCAATATGGTGGCTAGTTATGATAGCCGTATGGTAGCTATGTTTTGTGAAAGACTAAGTGCCATTCATGTTGATTGTCTCATTCTCTCTCTGTGACACACACACACACACATTATCTCTTACACACACACACATTTTTTTTTTCACCATTGCATAAATTAAAAAGCCAAAATGTGCTTTTTACTGTTTTGTCTTGCTATTCAAAGAAACAAAAAAAATCAATTACAAAACAACAATTTCAAAATATTTAACACTGAACATTTTTAACATTCTAGCAGACACTTTACCAATAAAGCACAATTTAGCTTAAAATTAATAAGTTAGTAAAATAATATATTTTGGCCATCAGACCCCCTTCTTGAATCAGGCATGTATTTTTTACTGTACAATTGCAAGCAGCCTTGCTGAGAAGAGACTTCTTTTAAAACACTAGAAAATATTACAGATCCTAATTTGAACACTGTGTGTGAATGTTATAATAAATGTATTAAAACAGAGCTGTTGTAATGATTATTATCATTATTATTGTCTTACTTTTTATTTTATTTTACAGAACAACAGTAAAATTACAATACTAACATTTATGAATGTTGATAGAGTTCTTGCTTTTTCTCAACTTTTATTTTGGCGGAAACGCGCAGGAAGACCTCAATGCTTATTTTTATTATGAATATGTCGTACGTATCGCATTGTACTCTACAATGTATCAGCGCAGATTTTCCTCGCGCTTTGGACTTTGAACCCTGGTTAACAAGCAGATCTGCTGCGAGGTCGTGCAGCGCTGTCAGAATACATGCAATGCGCGCGTGTATTAGAAAACATAACGTTCTGCAGTTTATTTACTAATTGTTTAAGGCCATTTCGCAATTTCAATCATCATACAGTAACCAGCAACAATCACCCCTTCCTCTTCTCATTGAAGACATGCGATGCAGTCATAAACAGTCTCTCGCTGTCGGTGCTTGTAATGATTTTTGCATCTTTCTCCGACAGTTTAAATGCTTCCACACTGCTGACATGTGTGCTGCATGTGCTTGTAATGATGTTTGCGTCTTTCTCCGACAGTTTAAATGCTTCCACACTGCTGACGTGTGTGCTGCATAATAAAGAGTGCGCGCCTCTCACTCTGCGCTGGGTGCTATTTGATCGCGTCATATCATTGTTCGGTACAATTTATTCGGTCTTTTCGTTTATTTGGCCGAACACCGAAAGAGCTTTTTTTTGCTATTTTCGGCCGAATAATTTCGGTTGCCGAACATTCGGTGCATCCCTAATACTTGATTACTAAAATAATCGATAGCTACAGCCCTAGACCATTATATGGAATCTAGAAAAATTTAAATTTTGGAAAATAAAATGGATTTTTGTTTGATTTAACCATTAAAACGGAATCCAGAAAAAATAAATAAACATAGTTAAATAAAAGTTATTCATTTTATATTTTCGTAGAGCCATATATGAGCACTGAGGAACGGTAAAAAAAGTGTATTATTTCTGAGAGCAGACAGTGTGTGTGAAAACTGCAATGTCATGAAAAAAAAAATCATATCTATCATCATGTGGGGGAGTCTGAGACTGTGAGAGACAGAGAATCAGTGAAGAATGAAAAGCATCAAAACACTCTTTCATGTTGAATCAAACCCCACCATGAGCAAACACACAGTACTGAGTGTGTGCGTGTGTGTGTGTGTGTGTGTGTGTGTGTGTGTCTGAGATCCACTGACACACAACACAAGCTGAACAAACACACAACGCAGCGCTCACGACACGACCCACGATGCACTGCAGGAACATCAGCAGCTGCCGGCTCGATGACATCAGCAACACTGAAACCGGTCAATAACTCACATCCTCCACGTTCAAACTAGGGGTCGACCGATTATCGGCGCCGATATTAAGCATTTTTATGATTATCGGTATCGGTCATTTTCAAAACCGATTCGCAGATAAAATAACTTAATTTTGAAACGCGCTATTTGGCTCTGATGCAGCCTGTCAGAACTCAGCACTCTGTGGCCTAAAGCAGTCTAGTTCAAACCATGAGAGAAATCTGCAGGTCAGTGTGTGAAAACATCTGCAGATCCCGTCCTGGGTCGCTATAATGTCAGTACAGGCCTGAGTCATGATCAACACTATAACCAAAGTTACACAGAAGAAAACACAGTCCTAGATCACATGGCATTGTTTTTATGAAGTTTTTGTTTTGGCATGTTGTTAAACAACAGTCACGTCCATTGAACTTGCTGTACTTCAGTCCCTCACAGCCTTGTTTTCATTCCCGCCAAAATGAAACACGGCACTCTCCTGATTCTGAATCAGATCCACTGCACATGTGTGCTCAAATCAATCTCACACACACACACGAACCTCAGGTTCACCAGGACGCTCATGAGCGCAACATTCCCTCAAGATGGGCTGAAAGAGAAGAACTGGAGGAATTGTGGGAGTTTCTGAGAGCACACAGCTGTTACAACACACAGCAGAGAGGCGTCCAGCTGACCCTCGGCCAGGGGAAAACCACTGACGCAAGCACAGCACAACACTACAGCAAACACACTGGGAGAGAGAGAGGAGACATGCGTGACCTCATCATCATCCTCAAACACACGCATGTGACATGAGTGTGTGCGTGTGTGCAGGAGCAGCCACTGGGTCAAAGTAATACATGCACACACATGCTATTAATAGTTTGAGCTCAGTATGATTTCATTTTAAAACAAATTACTACCTTTATTCATCTGGATGCATTAAAATTATCAAAAGTGACAGTCAAGACATTTATACACTGAAAAAAATGTTTCATTCATCCAATTAAAAAAAATTAGTGTAATGATTCACATCTATATTGAATGAAACATTTTTTTCAGTGTAGTTACATAATTTCTATTTCAAATAAATGCTGTTCTTTTGAACTTCCTATTCATCAAAGAATCCAAAAAAATAAAATGTATCGCAGTTTCCACAAAAATATTGTGCAGC